TGCTTTAAAAACTAATTACGAAAGCAACGCCTGCCTGTTATTGGAAACCAATCTGCGGTGGTTGTTGTGGAGATTAGGCCCCCTCGGGCGCGCATTAAAATCGAGGCTCTGGCCTGTTATCGGGCGGCGGGCGGGCGGAGTGTTTCTTTTTCAAACAGTGGGCTGGGTCGCGTGATCGTGACATAATATTCAGAGATTGAATGTATCTTGTATTTTGTTTCCTTGGCATCCTCGGAGACCCAGGGGCAGATAGTGGGGGCGAGGGAGAGTCTAAACGGGCGAGAAAATATGCCACGAAGAAAAGAAAAGGACGACGAGAAGAGCCATTGGGGACAATGTCTTACCAGACCAGTTCCAGACGGTCGCCGCCGTTCTGGCTTCTGATTGGTGCCAGAAAACGTTTGAGTTTTTCTGCCCAATCAAAAGGCAGAACGGCGGCGACCGTTTGGAACTCGTCTGGTAAGACATTGTCCCCAGGGGCTCTTCTCGTCGTCCTTTTCTTTTCTTCGTGCCATATTTTTGCGCCTGTTTAGACTTTCCCTCGCCCCCACTATCTGCCCCTGGGTCTCCGAGGATGTTTCCTTGGCTGCGTGGTGGAGTTTCAGGCACGTGAAGCTAACAGCTGGCGGAGAGGCGCGAGCTCGAATCCTGTCCTGGCAATTGCGTTTGTCTACTTTTTCACTTTCTTTCTTTCTCTCTTTGTTTCTTTCAATCTTTTCTTTTCTTCTTTTTCCTTCCCGCTTTTAGCATTTCTTTCACGATCAAACGCACACACTTACACTAAACAAGGGAGGTGCGATCTCGAAGAGAAGCAGAAAGGTCTAAAGGAGGAAGAGAGCAGTTCGCTTCACTCGATTTGTGGATTATAGATTAATGTTTGACTCGGGGCGTTTATTTAGTCTCAAATATGATCGGATTCGTTCACCGTATTAAAAATCCCCAGAATTGTAGCTAGCCCGACTTCACTTTCAGCGAGCGGTCTTTACCCTTTATCTAGGAAAGATCGAAGCGACTCTGCTGGCAGGGTACACCGTTTAAATGCTTGAATCGAAATCCGGGAGGCGGCTGAACACAGGCTATATCACCCTCATGACACAGAATTTTAGGTATTTTACACTATTCAGTGGTATTACTAGGCACTTTAAGATCCAACGACGCGGCGGCAATAAGAACGTCGCTTAAAAAGTGAATTTGCGTTCTTTCAGTCTTTATCGCAATTATTCCTACAGACTTACTTTGTCAAATGTAGGCGAACCCTCCTGGAGTTGAATTCGTAAGGACCATATCCAAGTACAGAAAGAGGAATTAAATTTTTCGTTGCTTGTTTGCGTCCTCCGTAAAACGCGAGGTTCCGGATTTTCACGTCGTAGTCGTGCAAAAACGGGCAAAGAAATGTACAAAAAAGGGTGGTGCACGAGCAAAGTTATCGTTTTGCTTATAAAACCTATTGTTTATTTGACGTTCTCGTTGCCCTCTGCGTCGTTGGATCTAAAAGTCCCTAGTACTGTTGTATTATATGCCCGTGGAAACAGTCCTAGCCCCATCACCGAGGTAAAATATAGTACAGTTCCATCCGAGTACATTGATTTAACGAATTTCTGGAGCAAGTCATTGATATATAAAACAAAAAGAAGGGGCACGAAAATTGAACGCTGTGGAACTCAACGACTGGAGGGTAAGTCAATAGACCTTTTTACAGACACGGCGGCCATATTGAATTAATTGGATTTAAGGAGTATTATGGGATGCCCAGGGGGCATGAGAACGATCCGATATACTCGCTCATTATTTACGCGCTTTGCGGGCCAATTTTTCTTTAAGTCTTCCTTGAAAAAGGGATGTAATAATGATCGCCTTTTTCCCGAGAAATATACATTGAAGTTCTATGTTAGATACTTGCCAAGGGAATTCGTTTAAGAAAAGGCATAGCCAAGCAAATAACTGGCCAAATATTTGATATGGTATAGCATACATGATGCAATGTGCACGCGTGCGGAGTTGAAAAATAGAGGAGGGTGAACATTAAGAGAACATGTGAACAACTTACAGTTGATTCCCGATAACTCGAACCCTCGCTAACTCGAACCTCGCGCTAACTCGAGCCAAAGTCGATTTTCCCTGAATTTCCTTCATACATTTACTGTAATGTAACTCGAACCTCCCGCTAACTCGAAGTAATTTTTGTTTCCCTTCAATCAGATTATTTCTAAATAATTTCTAATTTCGACAACTCCGAACATGTTTTAAGCGCGTGACAAGAGGCAAAAAGAAAAAACAGTGTACCACTGTCCTGAATTCCTAAGCATTAAATTTATTTCAAATCAACCGTGTCAATAGCTTAGCGCGCGAATGACGTCAGAGTTACTGATTTGCAATTTTTGTCTGAGTTTTGCCATTTTTCTCATTTTAATGACAATCATGACACTTAAGAATAAAAATCAACGATAAAAATTTTGAATGACGTTTCGATGACTCGCTCATCATTTTCACTTGACACTGATGACAAAAGTCAGACAAAATTGAGGAGTTCGCTAAATGTTAATTTCAGTTTGTTTGTTTGAGTTTCGGGTCTATAAATAGTAACTGCGCGCAGTGCTACTATATTTTTTGCCTTTACTTTTTTTGTCACTAGCTCCAGTTCAAAATCAGTGTCCATCCCTGTGAAGACTGTGAAGTGTGCACGATACTTTCATTCCCTCGCCATATTTTTGCTTACTTGCTTATTCTGCACTTATTTACCTCGAACTCCCGATAACTCGAACCTTTTATAGAAGAACCTAGAAGGTTCGGGTTATCGATACTCCATTGTAAGTCCAAATTAATCAACAAGCAAAGTAAGGTTTGGAATACCCTGGGTTCCAGAGACTTTTTTAAGGGCTACTATGATCAAAATATTGGCGCCCTTTTAGAAGTAAAAGTAACAAACATTTGCCTCGCCAAATTTCAAGTCAAAATTCCAATAGGAAGACCGCTTATTTTAAACGTAAAGTCCAGGTTTGCTTTTAATTGCCGCTATTACTCGATTCAAAAGTGACCGAGAATTCCACAAAGATCTGGAACTAGTTGGAATAAGAGGCATGTGACTTCAGACTTGCATCGTGTATCATGTAGACATTTCCAGACGGTATTTCTTTGTTTGTCAGTTGAAAATCGTGTTTTTTTCATGAATTGAGGCAAACGTTTAGTGACGTCACTGGACGGCATTAACGGCTGGGCGATTCAGACGTTACTAAAAAAAAGGGAGTAGAAACCACTCAAAGGAAACGTCTGAAATTCAGACGAAGATTTTGTAAACCGTCCCTATTTCTACCAAGATGTATTTGTACTTGTCGGACGAGAGTGATGGAACGCGGTATTTCTTTGTTTGTCAGACGGTATTTCTTTGTTTGTCAGTTGAAAATCGTGTTTTACTTTTTGCATGAATTAAAGCAAGGGTTAAGTGACGTCACTGGACGGCATTTAAGGCCGGGCGATTCAGACGTTACTTAAAAAAAAGGAAGTAGAAACGACCCGAAGAAAACGTGTGAAATTCAGACGAAGATTTTGTAAACCGTCCCTATTTCTATCAAGATGTATTTGTGCTTGTCGGACGAGAGTGATGGAATGCGCTTGTTAAGATTTAGGTAGACGTTATTTTAAGATGCTTCATGTACAGTATCTGTCTGTGGGTCTGTATCAATAGTTACATCTACAATGTTTATACCGCGCGTAAGTTTGCCTCTGCCGTGAATTTTAATCCAAATTGTTCGGAACACTTTTGAAGTTTTTTTTTGTTTTCTCTGCTAAGCGTGCTGATTTGTTTTTATGCAAACCTATATTTTCCTTGCCAAAACCGCCTCTATACAAACCTATATTTTCTTTGCCAAACATTTTTCGTAGCTGGTTTAGCTCATTGTAACATAAACCGCTACTGTCTTTCTTTATGCAAGATTTTCCTTTAAAAAGGAGTGATTTCCCAGCATGCTTCACTAATTATTAAAATGTGTCCCGTGTCGGAATTATTTGTTCTCCTCTACTATTCCACAAGCAATGAAATACACCATGTCTATGAGTAATGTAAATTTGCGTTCAAATGATCAATAAATGTTTTGGCTTTTGAGCTGAAAACAAAACCTTAAATAGCCACATAAACGACATACCGAATGCACAAATCCGGATGTTTTAATTAATCAGCAAACAAGAAGGGTCATAAAATATTGTTAGTTCTCAAACTTCACATCACAAGACATTTTAACAAGAATACTTTGCTACAGTAAAGACGAATGTTATAATTATAGTGATTTGAAACGTCAATTGTTCAGAAGTTTCACATTGAATACCCGAGACAGAATACTTGAAATCAAACAGGCCTTCTATATCCTCGCAAATTTTTATTCATTCATCACAGTGTGAATCGTTTTAACTTGAGCTCTACATACAAGGACTATGGAAATTATTTTCCTAGTTGATTAAAATCCACTGTCTATCTCAAAATTGAACGTTTCACTATCATCCTACTTTATAAAAATTTTCGAAAAGCAAACAAAAAGCAAATAGTTTTTAACACACGTCATCAACCTCGGCTTCAATTTCAGCTTTTGACATTGCACTAATAGATTTCACTTTTTCTTTTATCTCTTCAGCTCTCTCTTCCGAGATCGGAGGCAGTAAAACTTCTACTTCGCTTTTAATTCTTCCAATTCTTTTGTCAAATGCTTCTGTTATTTCCCTCTTCTTGTTAATTAAGAGCAATTCTACAAATGGCTTCCTGAGCTTCTTCACATCGTTGGTTTAGCTCAAGCTGCTTCTGCATGATCTCGTGACTATTGCTTGCTGGATCCATTGCAATCATCTTACCAAGACTGATGTGATACGCTCCATCAAATGCTTATTCGACAACTCCACGTATACGCTTGAAATGCTGTTCACCACGTACGCAATCTGATTGGCTTGAAAGGCTTGTTTCGAAGATGACGTCACGCATGACAGCGGACATGCCACTGTCACCTTAGTCCAATCTGTTACGAGAGGTTTGCACAAAGTCCTTGAGGGAGGTACTCAGGCAACACTTGACTAAATTGAAATAGCATTTGGAAAAACCGAACCAGCTTGCCCCACTGTTCTCGCAATTCACCGAGAGCTTGAATACCTTTAACCAAAGTCTGTCTGATTTTTTCCATATCTATCTTCTTTAAGTCCAGTTCTTTCATTTCGGCAAGAAGATTGGTCGCTTCTTTTGTTTTGTTCGCAACCTCATCACAAGATGCCTCGTATGCGCGACGAGAATCCTTCAACATCTCATTCGCTGTTTCCGTCCTGAATCGATAACTGTTAAATGCTTGCTGGACTAACCCACCATCGCTGTTGTACATTGGCTGTTTGGCAAGATTTGGAGATGTATTTGGAAGGGCGTTGTTACCAAGAGCGGAATGCGATCCAGCTAGTAAGGTTTCAGCCTCTTCAAGGAGTTTATCTGCTTGCAAATTTATCTCTTGAATGTCTTCCTGGGAATATTGCAGTTGTGGTTTCCGAGACAAGGTCTGGGAAAAATCAATTGCATCTTTGCACAATTTCATCACTTTCGTTTTCATCTTTGATTTCTTTACCTCTTCCAATCGATTTTTCTTAAGGCTTTGAAGTGCCTTCATAGTGCGTAATACTCCATCCTTTGCGCTTTTATCGCCTTTCATGACTTCTCCACCATGTGCAGGTTTCACAAGGGTTTTCACCTGGCCGTAAACCTCAGGCACTATTTTGTAAACCGCCAATGCGCGTTCAGAAGTTTTTGGACGATTGAAATGTCTTGTGGGCTCATTGACTTGAGATGCTTGTGAAGAACGAGTATTAAAGTCTTGTTTTCCCGACATCATACTTGTGATACTTGGTATGATACTGCCAACGGCGCGAGTAGTAATGATGATGGTGTCAGCGCAAGCTTTTCCAATGACATCCCATTCGCCAGGCATTGATTTAATGGAATGTTTGAATTCTTCATTCGCCTCCTTCATTTGCTTTTCCATTTCATTTCGTCTACTTAAAGCTTCATCTTTCTCCGCTTGAACGGCTTTCATATGCTCCTCCGCAACCTCACGAGCGATCTTTGCGGCTTTCAAATCCTCTTTATGTTGACCTTTTGCTCGTGTACACGCTTCAAGGAGTTCCGCAATTAGTTTCATCACAGCAACGAACTCTTTTTCAACCGACGTGGCCAACTCTAAACAATCATCAGCGATCCTTTCAATGTTTTTTAGGGCATCGGGGACCATCGATTGGACATCTTCAGCTGACCCTGCGATAAGAAATTTCACTGCTGTTTTGACGTGCTTGTCGACATTGCTTGAGTACAGAGGGATCTGATCCATGGAAGTGTGTGCCTTGTTAAAGGCATCCCATCCTCTGTTGCTGAACTGCACTAGACAGGCACGAAACGAATCAGGGTATTTCAGAAATTCAAACTTGATGCTATCTTTCTTGTCTTGAGGACTGAAGTCGGCATCCGAAGAAATAAGAATTAACTGTCCTAGCAAAGCGATGGATAGAGGAGCTGGCGTGAGAAAGGTATCCCAGTTTGCGTAAGGTGCCGTCATCAATCTCATTTCTTCTTTCTTGTCAATTCCTTTGTTCATGCCGGCTATAGCTTTGTCGAGTTCCTGCTTCGTATTTTGAGCCATCTTTGAACATCAACAACCTAAAATGTAAACCGTTTTAAGATCAACGACCACTGCACGGGCAGGAGTCTTTTTGGAAATATTGAGCAAGAAAATCTCTATAGAGTAGTCTGTACGGTTATAAATCTTCTTCATATCAAAGGGGGGAATTGCATATATCCCATGATGCTTCGCGCAAATTTCTTTTTTCTCTCCGCGGTGGAAACAGCGTTCGAGGGTTCCGAGGGAGATTTTCAACGACCTGAATTTCACGATGCAGCTCATCCAAGGTAAGTTTCAATGAGCCCTGTTAATCTTTGGTATCTGATTAATAATATAAAATGTTTGCATGGTCATTTCACGCATTATTGCTGTCGTTTGCGACCCTGTTAAGCCATGCTTTTTTAACTCGCAAGTGAATATTTATTTAGATGACTTTTAATTATTGAAAACTGTCTTTATTCTAGCAAAGTTTTGCCCTAATAAATTATTTAAATCGGCGGACAAGGGGTGCTTGATACTAGTTCTACACTCCGACCTCCTTCGACCTCGCGATTTTTATGGGTTTGATTATTTGAAATATCGCATTTTCTGCCCTTTCTCCGCTAAGATGCAAGACGAAGGTTTCAATTTCTTCATGCTAAGTCCTGCGAAGATAGGACATTTTTTCTTGAATTTGCTCTGTTTTCGCTGACCAAAACACAAATATTACCTCGTGAGGGTATGATGAATGTTTAAATTCAATGGTTTATAGTTATTAAAGCTTTTTGTCAGGTTTAATCGAGTAGAAGAGGTGCGTAAACTCAACATTTCCTTTAAAGACAAATTTTCGTCCGAGATCAAATTCAACTGACTTATGAGAAAAAAAAAATGAAAGCAAACCTTAACGAAAGCTCGAGAACAGAGAAAACTACAGAGAAACGGCTCCTTCCCTCGAGCAACCGGACCACCATTGTCTGCACTTACGAAGAACAACACAAATTAGCTCCACAAAAAACCTTTTTCCCTAACTTAGCGAGACGACAGATGAAAACAAAGCTCTGCTTTTCTTCTCAGGCTTGGAAGTACAATTTACAGCTGAATTTAAACTTCTGGCGATTCCATATTACCCATTAGGCTATTGTTTCTGATTTGATTTGCAACGTTTGAGAATTCAGTAAAGATCAAACCTATTGTTTACCGATTTCCACGCATGATTTGATCCGTCAATCGAATTGAGCTTTTGGTTTCTTGAATATTAACCTCGCCACGAATATTCCGCTTCTATTAACCTCGTGTTCAATAAAGAATAATTACTGATTGTCCAACAATGTGATGTGCGGAACAAAATATCTGTCAAGCAGGAAAAGGTGTGTTCTACAAGATTCCCGCCTTCCCGGTCATCTCCTTGACAAAAATACTGGAGACCTTTTTACGTTCTTTTCTTTCCTCTTTCAATAGAAAATACGTCCACACGGTCGCTTGTACGGTCGTCTTTGTAGCACCCGCGCGTTTAGTGACCTTTAGTGTGCAACGCTTATTCGGGCCGCAATGCTACTTGTACTCTTTCCAGCTGTTCAAACAAAAACGATGGTCACGCGGTCGCTTTAACCGATTTCTATGGTAGGTTCTTTGTTGAAGAAGGCCAATTTATGAACTCCACATCGTCCCTCCACTTGTGCCGCCATTGTTTTTATTTGTTGAAGCCGCCTCGCTTTGGCGCGCTGAATCGTGAAAGCGAGTCTTCCGGAAGTCAGTCAGTTTACCGGAAACTGTTTCCGCGTGGTCCGCATAGTTCTTGAAATTAAGATATCCCGGCCAACGCCGTTCTCTGTCCTATTATGGCTCTTGACAGCATACATTGCAGTTGTAAATCAATCTCTTGGGAAGGGTGACAGATGCGTGCTTGGTCTTTGTAAAATTGATTTGTTTGCCATAGGCTGATTGGCTGCCGCCCAAAGTCTTAAACTCTTGCCCTATTTAAGGTGTTTCGATACAGTTTTTCAAAGGCCATACCGATATTTTTCAATCGCCTTAAAAGTAGTTTTTTCCTTGTCCGATCGCTATAAAATTTTCAATCGGACAAGGTAAAAACTACTTTTAAGGCGATTGAAAAATATCGGTATGGCCTCTGAGAAACTGTATCGAAACACCTTAAAGCTGAGACAAACGAAAATTGATGGATACTCAAAACCGAAAAAAGGCACTTTTTTCAAGGGAAAAAAAAAACTAACCAACACACAATTGACAGAAACCCTCATTAAATCGCTTTCCTTTTGCTAGTTCAGCGTAAACAGATGATTTGTTTCCAGTGGAGCTGGGCATTTACTCACGTTCCAGGTAAACGGATACACGTCTTTCTCGAGTGAACGGTAATGAAATGAGACTGGTGTGACCTTAGCCTATTGCAGTTGAAGAGCGAAGGTAGCCACAGATTACTGTGCACGATAGCCTCCGTAGCAAGCGTTTCCGTACTGTTTCGGAGTAAAGAAGGAGGAACAAGAGTCAAAGACCGTGCGAAAAATGGCGCATTTTTTGACTCTCGTTCCATTTCTCGCTCCGTCAAAGCCGAAAATCCCTTTCCTCTGTCTTTCTTTGCTCCGAAACCAAATGGAAACGCTTGCTACGCAGGCTATGTCCACGATAAAGGGTACCGAGTCTATGCTTTTCTGTTATAGACGAAATACAAACGAAAGCAATTGTGAACTTTTTTTTTTACTCACTGCAATTTTAACTCTACTAGCTATACTCACAATACAGCATGGTATTATACTACCGCAGCATCTTCTACAAAAAGGAACTTAAGAACCACGACGAAGTTCACTACGACAACGTCTGTTGACTGGGAAAAGACTGGAACGAGAACGTCAGTTTCAGCGGGAAAAAGGAAACTTAAGATGCAGTCGGTCGGTAGGTCAACGACGACAACAGTGAATGTAAACACAAATGTAAAATTCTGATGTTCCTTCGCAACAAAGTTTTTCGCAGTGGCGTCTTTTAAAACAATGCAAGATCTTATTTTATTAACGATGACGAATTTTTTGTGTTGTCTGACCTTTTTGAGTGGAAAAACATCTACTTTCCGCACGAAATTATTCAACTTTCAACTTGAATGAGATGACCGAGTTTAAGTCAGTCTCTCAGAGTTTAGATTTCGAAAAAAAGAGACACTCTGGTGTGTAGCTGTTTTCCATATAAAGTTTCTTTTACTCTATATTAAAGATATATGATTTGCCTTACCTAAACTGTACGTACAAATAAATTTATCACTTACGAGTTAGTTCGCTCGGCCTCCACAGCTGTTGTCATTCTTCGAAGCAAAATCAATTCATTTGTCGAATTTTCAATCAACATCGCTTGTTAGGAGAAAAAAGGAACGATACCTGGATTTACGAGGATAAGAAAATGCAAAGGACTTCAAGAATCGTTTAAAACAGTGGATTTATACCTGCCGAAGATTGTGAATTGCAGGACGACGTGATTCTACTTTGTTTGGCGTCGTCGACGACACTACGACGACGAAATTTACTGGTCGCGCTTGCGCAGTACTCTGTAACTCACTTCCGGTCGTCGTCGACCAAGTCGTCGTCGTGGTTCTTAAGTTCCCTAAAAACATAAAAAACTGAACGAGAAACACCCTAACTACTCTAAATCCCGCAATTTTCTTTCCATGGAGATGGTAACTGTTGAAAACAAAGCTGGCGTTTCTTATAGATATCAGCTTGGTAGGAGTTAACCGCGGCGTTCCACATGATTACGCTCACGGGCCAGCTGACAGAGAACACAAAGTGGACAACATTCGACCTTACAATAATCGTCAAAAAGGGTGCCCTGCAAGTGGATGAAATGAAGTCAGTCATGGGTGAATTATCCTGTCTTTGGTATTGAAATAATGATTATATGAAAATCATATACAGGAAATGTGGGGTGAAGAATTAAATGAAAGAAGACCATCGCTGTTATAGACGCAACTTTTGCAGTTGCGGAAAGCAAGTTCTTGGTATTCTTTCAGTATTCTTCTTATAGCGGAGCTCCAAGCGCGCGCTTCGCGTGCGCAAGCGTAGCCCCATACCTTAGAAAATTTGGTCAACCATCCATCCGAGAAATTTTGGTTATCACGTGATCGTGCGCGAGTACGTCCGTACAGACGCTGAGGGAGGGGAAAGGGAGTCAGGTGCTGTCGAGGAGATAATTACCAAATATATTGAAGAAACGTTATATTGCCACAATTTTGCAGTGGTGGCTATAAAATCAGACTGCTCCAGTAATGTAGTTTAAAGGGCTCTCATAAAAATTAGGATCATTAAACGTTTTCCTTCCTCTAAGCCAACAGATAATCACATAAGCTTCAAGAACGCTTTTCACTAGAGAGCCTTAAAGCCTAAAGCATAAAATTTAGAGCACAGTGCTTAACAATATGAGTGCCGTAAAAAAAGTTTTCTGCAGTGTTATTTAAACGTTCTTTTACTGTTTTGATGGCTGGATTGGTTATTTTCATTTTTCATTCAATTCATGTTGGTGGCATCTTTTTATTAAATGGCTTGATTTACTGTAACTTCAGTCATAAATGTGGGACAAAGCTCCTTAAAGAACTGAAACTAGTCCCGTATAACGAGGTTGTTTTTAAAGCTCTTAATGCCTGTCGAATACCTGAATATTCTGCTGCACTCTCAGCTTGATCCTGAGTCCCAACAGTGCACCTGGGCAACAGCAAGGAAAGCAACATCCTTCGCCCATCCTGGACGAAACATCAGTCAGCAGGAAGAAAGGACAGAAAATGCCCCTACACACTTGAAACACAAACAAAATAAAATACACGTGGCTGGGTAAACTCAGGTGGAAGAGCGTTTGTTTGCAGAGCGGGAAGTCGCGTATTCGATTTCCGGATCCGGACCAATACTTGGGGTCTTAAGAAAACTGAGTAAGAACGTATTGTCTATGGTTTCGAAACGGATAAACCGCTTCGCGTGGCTAGGATGACCACGTAAAAATGGCGGAGCCGTATCTATTAGGATGCGTGACTGAATACTGCCCTCAATGAGTACATTCGAGCAAGAAATACTAACACTTAATAAATAAAGTTATAACTATTCTCATTCGTGTAAAAGCCGCCGCTTGACGATTTAATCAACTAGATTACTGCGTGTTCCCTTGTAAAGCAGTCTATTGGTCCTTTACGGTACCCAGGGAAATTCCCTTTTATATGCTCTAGCAAACAAATTCGCCGTCTTCTCGCAAGTCTACTCTACAACGGACAAGCAAGTTTCCTTACCCTCGCCCCCTTCAGCGGCGCTGGCAAATTTTCTCTATCAGCCCACCCTATGCCCTATCATTTGAGTGCCGCTTAAAGAATACTTACGAGAGCCACAGTCCTCAAAGCAACCACACAGTCCAGTGCTCCAATTCCGTTGTGCCTTTTGAACCACTACTGGTTGCTGATTCACCACTACAGTGGTATTGGTAGTCTGTTGTGCATACGGTGCCGGTTGTTGAGTTACCACTGGATACTGACCCGGGGGGTACGCCGGTCGATACATCGCTTGCTCTGGGGAATACGGCTGAGCCGTGGGTGGTGCAGTGGGTGGGGGATCCATTATTTAGGCTCTGAAAGGAAAACTTATTTTAAAACAAAAATCAACGCGTCCTGATATAAAAGAAACTTGACGTTTCGATGGCTTCATGTCATCATTAGGGAGTACTTGATCTTTATTGGAAAAACATTATAACACATGTATTACACATCAACTAAACTTTATTATGATATTATTTTTGGGGAGATCGGAAGAAATACCATTTGACAATGACGTCACAATAGCTTTAATCGCATTTCTGCCCTTAAAGGCATTTCACGCTTTCGAAATGCTTTTCGCTACATATACTTTGGGTGCTTGTCTTCTGTTTGTAAGAAGTTTCACAAAAATATGTAAAAGGACTTTCGAGATATCTTTGAATTTCTACTAAAAGGTATAAATTATGTATGAACTGAAGGCTGGGCAAATTTGCTACCTTTTGTATGCTTCCGAAAAGTTTTTATCACTCATAAGACTTGCAGGGGTGGCGAATGGTAAAATCCGAGACTCGCCGAGACGCCGAGAACCTAGTTAGAAATCCGAGCCCGAGACTCTTTGGTGAAAAGTTTCGAGACTGAAAAAAAGTAAAAGCAAACCATGAAAAAACGAGACTTCGAGACTTATCAAAAACGCTTCCGAGATTTCGAGATCCTGCCAAAATTTTCCGAGACCCACGTTTTTCGAGGTACCATTCGCCACCCCTACTTGCGCGATTTCGATCAACCATGAAAACATGTGAATCAGTCAGACGCAATGATGAGCTCTTTTTGTAATTTCTAGGGCTACTTTCACGAAAACAGCGATTAATTAAACCAAAATTCGTCGATAGGTTTTCTTTAAAAAATTTCAGTGCTGCAATTGATCAGTGTACTATAAAATCCACAAATTTCGTGTCCATTTCGTGTCCAACGTCAGTTGTCTAACGTAGGCGCAAAGTTGATAGCCTGCGTAGCAGGCGTCGGAAGGAGTTAGGGATAGGGAGCGAAGGGGAAAAGGAGGGCCGGGGATTGGGGAGAGAGGGTAAGGGCGAGGTGCTCGCTTAGATATTCTTCCCGACACTGTTCTTTCTCTAATTTTTTGCAAAAAACAATTACAAAACAGCATATTAAGCATATACAGGGGCACCCGATGGATCTGTTCCTCAAAATATCTTGTCTTCAGACAAATTTTTTGCTAGCTGGGAGATTTGGAAAAAACAAAATGTCCTTGGAAGGAAAGTGTTGCTGTTAAATAGACAATTCAGGGTGTCTGATGAGCTAGCTCGACCTGATGATGATGAGGGGAGATTCTAGATTTGGTATCTAGAATAGCTGCTATTTGCTATTTTCAGAAGCCTCTTTCCCCTCCCGCCTACTGTAGGGGTGAATTTCACCCTTAGCGCCCCCCTTCACCCCCACTGAGGGGCTGAATTTTGTCCTATGACCACACCCAAACTGGCCAGTAACGTCTGCACACACGTCTACTGGGAAACTTCCCGGTAACTCAGGTTGCAGGTTGTAGATGCACCTTGCTGGCTGGGAACTCTTCCATCTGTCTTGCTGGGCTTGAGGAAAAGATAAATCTTTACCAGCAGTCTCCCAAAATGCTTAAAGCGGCTTCAGAAAGCTTTATTCATGCTTTGTTGTTGTTTTTAGGTCTTTTTCTCAAAATTTTCCTACGGGTGCCCCCTGCATATATTTTTTCCTCATCAGCACACTTGGCGTCAGAGCAAGAAAAGTGAAAGTTCTATTTACTTAAATCATAAAATACATTAAGTTCAAGAATTTGAAAAAAAGATTGGTTCCTTTTAAACTTCTTTTCTTTTACATTTATGTCAGAAAAATTTACACCCTTATTTTATAAAGAATGTTGTTTTTCCGGTCCAGGCTGAATATTCTTGTTTTTCTGCCTATTTAAGGCTGAAAATTCTTGTATTATTTTTACATTAAAGCTTAGGAGGCACTGTCCATAAGTATTGCAGGTACCTTTCATCGAACTGTTATTAGCATTGAATATTTGGTTTTACTTACTGCTGTTTTTTTCGTTTTGTAGGCTAGTTTCAGGGGCACCCAACGACGGTTTCCTCCTAAATACATTGAAAACACTATTTAGGCTATCCAGAGTACTTTTAGATGTCTAGAAATGCATTTTATGTATTTTAAGCGGCACTGTAAAATTGAAATTGTATCTGTTCGGTCATCCTAGGGAAACTTGAGTCTTTTCGGAAGTATTATTTTCCCGAATATTTTAGATTCAATTTGAAGTATTACGAATGTGAGACATTTTCTGATTTCTCACTCTATTGCATTTTTGAGTCCGAAAATTTTAGGTCTCCTTTTCTCTACGAAAAATAGCCTAACTTAGGGAGTGAGCTTCAGAAAATCGTAGGGAATTTGTGAGATAAGCTTCCAAAGTTGTACATGAGTGGAACTTTCGATCTAGAAATTTTTAGCCGTCCCCAGGCAATAGAAAATTCTAGGCAATATTTGTTTCTCCGAACAGACTTTTTAAATAAAAACAGGTGTCGGGTGCCCCTGTTTTTTCTCATTATTTTAGGTAAAATTGGTTTCTCATGGTGGCTTCCGGTCGCAACCGCGCGTGGCGAACTTGAATTATACAGGCCAGCAAATGTCATGGAATAGCACGCCTTAGGGCCTCAACACTGCGTGAAATAAGTAATTTAGTGGAATTTACAGGTCCACGATACTCCCATGGCACTTAGCAAATCGTATACCGACACGCCAGGTGTCATGAAACGCGGCGTTTCAGAGAGTGTCCGTGTCCCCGATACCTCTGTCGTGAAAACTCAGGACAAATCGTGGCCCGGACACGTCTTCTGCGGTGTGTCAAGAAATATACGAGCTCTGATTCTTAACGATATCAGTTAGCCAAAGCTATGTCGACTTTCGACAGTGAGGTAAAATGGCATGAAAACTGAAATTTAGGAAAAATTAAACTTTACCTAATAAAAACACAACTAACTCATTTACGCAAACTTTCCAAGGTACGCCGAGGTTGGTAAAGATTTACGCACTTGGCTTAAAGGTTGAATGAAGGTAACATAAAGTTGCAACAACCTTACGCTCATTCTCTTACGCGAGATATGAAAGTTGAGTAACTGTAAGGTTGCCACGTGCACTCTGGTAGCAGGATCTGTTTTCTTTGTTGTTTTTAGCATGACCGAAGTAG